GCCACAGAGACTGGCGAAACGTTAGGAAGAAAAACCTTCGGAACATGGCCAAACAGCCCGAAAAAACCTATAACAACCATAGCTTTTAACGTTTACCTGTTTTTAATTATTCCGTCGCATTTTAATCACTTCCATAATTTAATTGTTTTTCATGTAGAACTTACTATATTTTAAATTAGACTCTTTTAACGCTGTGAGCCACTTTGGGCCCCCTTATCGGAAGAAAACTGGCCTATAAATAAGGCAAATAAAATCAATAAATGATACGCCCTACTCATGTCTATGTATGGTTGTTTTCATGGGTATAATCCTTTCTGGTCTGGGGCACTTGTCCTTACTCTTTCCGTGGTGGCAAGCATGGACTTTGAGAGAGTCCCTTTTATAACGATGGGAAGTACAGATGAGAAGAGTACCATGTCTCCAAGTTTTCCGCTGGATGGTACATTTGCCCTCAAGACCAATGCAAAATGGTAGCTATACAGCTGTCGTGTGTTATGTTTTCAGATGATGATAACTGTTGCAACGTCTTGTCAGCATCTGAGGTACAGCCAGTGCCGACAATGAGAACACCACTTGTATTTTGCTGTGGCGGTGCCACAGGTATCCTTGAAAAACTAGAAACCCCCAGATCCCTTGTATAATACTTTAAAGCTATTTACAACTTTTTTCATTATATCATTTTGGGTGTCCAGGTGGACAAAGGCATGATAAGTACATGCTACAAATAACAAAAATTAATACTTAAATAAAGTATCAAACCACATGGAGTCAGAATTATTGCAGAATTTTAATCAGAAAAAAAATGACTCAATGGAAAACAGAACCAATCTCCTGTGGATTCAAGGGAGAGTCAATAGACTGTTCTGACAATCACCTGAGGCTGCAGTTACTTTATATGTAATGATTCATACAAAGTTAAGAGCGCCAGCCCTTGCTCCTAAAGGTAGGAAGACCGTGTTGAATCTGAGAAATGAACCATGTAACCCAGCATCTGTTTTCAAAAACAGCCTGCTCACAAGCAGTGAGCAAGGGATACAGCCATACCTTACTGTTTCCACTTTTCCCTGGAAACTGGGATCAAATGATATACAGTGGTGCCTCGCTTTACGAGCGCTCCGTTTGACAAAATCGCTTGACGTTGAAGATTTTGTGATCGCAAAAGGATGTTCCCTATGGAGAATTTCACTTTGCGATGATTGGTTCCCTGCTTCAATAACCGATCATCGCAAAGTGATGATTTTCGCACAGCTGATTGGCGGTTTCAAAATGGCCACCGGGTAAAAATCATGGCCGCCTGCTCTTTTCTGGGACGGATTCCTTGCTGTACAGGCAGCGAAAATGGCCGTGCTATGGAGGATCTTCGCTGGACGGTGAGTTTGAAGTCCATAGGAATGCATTAAGTGAGTTTTAATGCGTTTCTATGGGTTTTTTAATATCGCATTACGTTTTCGTTCGACAGTGATTTTGCTGGAACGAATAAACGTCGTCATGCGAGGCACCACTGTATTGCATTTGAACATGGAGGTTTCCTTGCAGTTAATGTGAATAAAAGTCACATGTGACTGGAAGGTTCACCATCAAAACCAATGGATCTATCTTGAGGGCATTCTTCCTCTTTTGTCATCTATTCTCCTTTGTCCTGTTGAGGAGCTACCATGTATTTACATGTTCAGTGGAGGCACACTGCACACTCCATGGGAAGAAGCAGCCAAGGAACTACGCTATGCTTTCTTGCATACATTTCAGTGCCGCCACACTGGCATTGAAAGTGATTGTTGTTTTGATTTATTATTATTTTTTTTTTAAAAAATCACAAAATTTTCTTTCTTTTGACTTACTGTACATGATTCAAAGATGATGAATTATAGACAGCTCTGATTTTAAAAGCCACAAGTTTTACATAGTTCATTTGTACACATGTGAGATAATCAACACTAATTCTTTTCGACGGTTGTTTTTAGAAAATTATGAACAATAAAAGCCACCCCCATGCAGCAGCATCTTCATTTCTTTTTATCTTAAAAAATAATAATAATACAAAAGAAGATTATTGGACCGGGCAGCAGTTCTACGTACTAAAATCTTTGTAAATAGAAACATGTGCACGTACGTTTAAGTGGAGAAACAGCTTTGTTAAAATGACAGGGCGTAAGGAATATTTATTTAAAAAAATTTAAACCTTCCCCCCCCACACACCTCAGTAGCAAAATATGGAAATAGATTTGGTGATCTCTATGCATGCAAAGCACCATTTGAAAATGTGCTCTCTAGCATATCATAAGCGAGAGGACATGGCCGCCTGCAAAGCCTGCTGATAGTCTCCTGTACCGCTCTACCTCTCATGAATTGCAACGGTACCAATGCAGGACAGCTTTTTGGATGATTGTGTCCAACGACATCAATCACAAACTAGAGAAATGTCTTTAATGCTCCCACAATACGATCTTATGCATTCTATGTTCGTTGGACTAACATCAATCACAAACTAGAGAAATGTCTTCTTATGCATTCTATGTTCATTGGACTATCAAAGACCACGGCTTGATCCATCGCATGTTGTACAAAACTATAAAAGACCTTGTTTGCAGCTCCAAAATATATAGAAAGAGGGTCTTCTGTACAAAATGGTAAGTCATGAACACACTTTCCCATCCAAAGTCCTAAAATGGCTAAAGACCCAAACCTCTCCTCCTAGTTGGGCACCTGAATATGGTGAGGGAGTTTGAGTATGTCAGAGAAGTTGAGAGCAACGCCCTCGGGGGTCTCGACTCCATCACAAGCCTGGACAATAACGTATAGGTCGATAAGCGGGAGGTCACTTCTTCAGCCATTGTCAATTGTGAGCGAGACCTCGATGTATGGTTAGTATTACTCATGAGGGACAGGTTAATGCCCACTGGACGTCACTTGAAACTGGAGAGGAACTTTAGCTCTGCGAAGTCCCCAGAACGGCGCTAGCAGAGCGGTGAGAGAACCCGCAGGAAGAAGTTTGTTTGAGTCGAGGGCAAAACATGGAACGTTTGTTTTAAGTTGGTGGAGGTCCATTGGTATACCGTAGCATGGGATAGAAAGATCGGGCAAAGTTGTTGGTTTGAGCACAGCTGTAGTCGTCCTCGGAACACGGGACCAAGGAGGCCAAAAACAGCAGGAGAAGAAACAGCAGCTGGAGAGGTAACGCCACTCGCAGGACACGGTAGAAGAAGGAAGGGGCGCTGGGAGAGGCTGCACGGACTTCGTCCCTCTTCTCCGCTCTGCAAAGAGGACAATTTAAGTACGCAACTTCCTGAGCCTCAGTATGGAGTCCACCTAGCCCTGTATGGTTGGTTCTGACAAGAGCGATTGCTCTTCTAGACCTCTGGGTTAAGGCTGGCCCTACCATTAGGCAGAATGCAGTGGATGCGCCAGACATCAAAAACTGGAAGCGGGGCAAAGCGGGCCACCCCTCCTGAGCCTCTAGCCATTTCCCCCTCCTTTGTTTTATCTGTATCATTACATTGTTTTAAATGGTTTTAAAGGACTTGAATTATTTTAGATTATTTAAATTCTTTTGTACCACGACTTTGTTGACCGTACCCTCTCCTGAGATCTGTCCATACAGAATGGGTTAGACAGACTTTGTCAAATAAGTACCATATTTTTCCGTATATAAGACACCCCCATGTCTAAGACCCCCCTTTTTCTAATCCAAAATTAAGAAATCTAAGTGGGGCTTAGGAAGTGTAGGGGGAAGGGGATCAAAGCGCTGCAGGATTGCTTTGATCCCTGCTTTCCCCTCCACTTGTTTTTGTTCCCTCCTCAGCTTACTTCCATGTATAAGACGAACCTCAATTTTTAGTCTAAAGATTTTAGACAAAAGTATTGTCTTATACACCGGAAAATACGGTAGTTACTTCACACACAATATCCCCTCTAGTTTGGCTCTGAGGCTGCCAAATCTTTGGTGTTTTTTTTTAAAAAAATTAGTTACAGGAAAGAAATTCATAAAGTACTACCTAATCCTGCTGCCGTTCTCACTCTCCAAGGCCTCCCTTCCATCGACCTATAGATGTTTAAAATATAAATATTGTTAAGGGACAAAACCACAAAGATGCAAATTCCAAGGTTACATATTTCTGTGTGAGAAACATTTCTAGGCAGGAGAAATGGAAGAAGAACTGTAATGGTAACATAAATGGAAGAGCTGTAATTACTTTCACAAATACTCGATCAACCTAAGCAGTGAGTCTGCTCATATTAGAGGTGTGCAGATACATGGTTTTGGACCCCCCATAGAGTTTTCTGGGAGTTTTAGTCCAAAACCACACCTCGTTATATTTGTACTATAAAAGTGTGCTTTCATACAAGTGTGTGTTAGTGTGACTATCTGGACAATCCTGATAAAAACCATTAGGATTGCCAACTCCAGGATGCCTAACTAACTAACTAACTAATGTGTTAGTGTGACTAGCTGGACAATCCTGATAAAAACCAGTAGGATTGCCAACTCTTGTTGATGTGCAGAGAACACTGAAGGCTAGCATCCTCCGATAAGAAAGACTGGCTAGATTAAGAGGAAAAGGGCCATGTTAAAAAAAAATTACGAAGCAGCTTGCCTTGTGTTTGTATAAGGAAGGTTTCTCGGGCAGCTGGTGATAGTTTCCAGAGTCTCTTTCATCCCCTTGTGGCTGAAACACACTTATATCCTACAGCAAAAACAAAAAGAAAACTTTTATATTGTGCATAAAATCACACTTTTTTTCTCCCCGAGTCGCCCGCATTTTCACGAGAATACAAACTTTCTACGGCTGGAAAATTCATAGTACTCAGCCCAGCCTCACCTGGCTTCTCTGTGAGACTTTTAAATCACGCGAAACTCCTTCGAGAAGCTGCTTTAGTTTCTTCCCGATGACGTGAACTTTCTCTTTGGCTTCAACATATTCTCCTCCGTCGGACTTGGCAAGCAAGTAAGTGGATATTTCCTGTAGAGTGTTTACTTGAAGCTGGCGTTCCAGGAGCTCTTTTTCTAGTTGCTAAGACAAGGGAGAAGGAGGAAACGTCACCATCAGATAGAAAAACCTGCCTTGCAGAAAATCGTGTCCATCTGTTCCGGGAGCGCTGCCTAGGGGATGAGTCTATGAAGCCGTCCTTGGGTAGCTTTCAGAACCTTTAACTCAGGGACGAGGAGACTCTGGCTCGTGCATCAGATGTTTGCTGCCTGGGACGGACCTTTCCTCTCCCCGCTACAGATGCAGGAATTAGGTTTTATAAAAACCCTTCACCGGTGCCTGAGGGGACTTTGGGGGAAGGGGACATTGCAATGAATCAATCCATGATGCAGCCAATGGGAACCGTTTAAATCAGAGTGCCAGGTAGCTCAATGGTTTAGGTTGGTTGGGAATTCAATTCCCCACTATGCCTTCCTTTTAAAAAAAAAAATTTTTTTTAACTGCTAGGAAAAGGGTAGGGAGTACAAAATGTAAAAGGAAGGTGGGGGGAAAGGGAAAAAATGTGAGGGTGGGAGAACACAGAATATACAGTCATTTGAACTTCAGTGGTGCCTTACATGACAACAATAATCCATCCCAGGAAAATCGCTGTTTAGTGAAATCGTCGTCATACAAAAACCCTTTCCCCATTGGAATGCACTGAAACCCGGTTTAATGCATTCCAATGGGGAAAATACCTTGTAGTCCAGCGAAGATCGCCCATGGGGATGCCATTTTGCGAGCGCCGATCAGCTGTAAAAATGGCTGCCCTGTGAAGCATGGGTCCGGAAAAGATAGGGCAGCCATTTTGCAGAGCCGAAAAAATCGTCGTCTTGCGAACAAACGGTTCGCGAAGCATGGACCTAATCATTGTTAAGTGAAAATTACCCATTGGAATGACTGTTTTGCGAATCGCTATAGCGATTGCAAAAAGTCATCGTCGTGCGATTTTGTCGTTTAGCGTCGTATTTAGCGAGGTACCACTGTATTCATATTTCAGTATCAAATCAACTTCCTGCTTTTTTTAAAAAAACTATTTGATTACCCTGCAGTTATCAACCTACAATTATATTTTAGTTTAAACCTAAGTTACTCCATGATGCCTTCCTGACAGAGGCTGGACTCAATGATCCACAGACACCCTTCCGGCTCTGCAGTTCTAAGTTTATTAATTGGTGGGACAACCCCTCTTTTCTGGATGCTGCAAACAGCTTCACTTACCATCAATTCTTTCCAACTCTCTTGTATCGTGTGGGGATCAGCGTTCAGACGTTTCACCTGGGCATGATGCCTCCGAGTCTCTGTGCAAGCCAGCCACAAGAGCAGTTTCTGGTTCAGCTCATGAAAATCCTGCAGGAGCATAAGTTTGTTATTAAGACAGCTGGAAAAATATAGTCATGTCAGAGCACATTCACTAGCCATGCCATGCCACCTGGTATTACAGGAGCCAGACTTTGCTGGAAGGTTCAGCTGACGCTTTTATTGCACTTCTGCTATTCTCCACATATAGTATTCTCAAGAGTTTTACATTCAGCAAGTCAGATCCGTTCGATTAGCCTCTTATCAGCAAACATCAAGTGGTGGGCTGTGGCCAACAGAAATGATTTTCGCCCAGGCCCTTCATTCTCTGAATTTGCAATGTAGTATCTGTGCCACTTTATGACAGAGTTCAGATAAAATGAGACAGGGAAAAAGGATACATCGGTCACCACAGTCAGAATCACAGGCAGCATCAAGGTGGAGGCACAGATCCACCGCCTTCCATTACACAGGGGAAGATTAAACATGTAAGGAGAGACCTCTCGTCTCATAAGAATTCTGTGCAATCCCAAAGAGTTAAAAACAGAACTTATAAAGGTTTGCTAGTTTGCCACCCACGTTGGTTTCTCCGTAATGGGGAAGTCAAAGCGGGACCAAGGGATTCATTTCCTGACCTGGCAGTCCATCAGGGCTTCTTGTAAACTCTTTTTCCAGTTTCCTATTAAAAGGTTCGCCTTCTCCCAGCGCAGATTGACTCGCCGGAGTCTGTTCTGAAGTTCTTTGGATCCAGTGCTGTCAGCTTGCTTGAAGTCCTTGCTGGTCAGGTTAATGGAAAGTACAAGGGCTTTGTAGTTATCGAAAGCTTTAAGCATATCCTGGGGGGGGGGGAGAGAAACAGATTCAGGTTCTGTGAATCCATCGATTGAGCCATCAAATCAAATCAACCAATCCATGAGCAGCAAGATGCAGTCGGGAGAATCCATACTTACTTTCCTCCAGGAGAATGCTGACAAAAAGTCTCAAGAGGATATTGCGATGCATTATTTATGGCCTGATTCAGGAATAGTAAAGACTAGAGGGTGTGCAGATTTGTGAACACCAATCTGTACACCTCTAGTAAAGTTCCGTATTTTTCCATTTATAAGATCCCCCCCACTTTTCTAACCCAAAATCTAAGTGGGGCTTAGCAAGTGGAGGGGAAAGCAGGGATCAAAGCCCTGCAGGATCACTTTGATCCCTGCTTTCCCCTCCAATTATTTTTGTTCTCTCCTCAGATTACTTCTGTGTATAAGATGACCCTCAATTTTTATTCTAAAGATTTTAGACAAAAGTATAGTCTTATACATGGAAAATACGGTAGTTTTGCAAAGACACTTTCCTTGCAAGCACTCTTTATGCATGTCAGACCACCCATTTCTCTCAGCAAGCAGGGCTGTTTTCAGAATAGGATTACTGAGCCATGGAAATATTCAACCATCCCACCTTTGACATTACTTTGCTACGTCAAGGTGTTCACGTGAGGATGCCTGCAGAATTGGCAGGGAATCATCTTGCTGCGAGCACAGCTAGAAAATGGAGTACAAAACGTCAGAGCTGCCAGTGGTCTCTCAAAGGCCAGGTACTCCAACCACAGCTGATGCAGGGAACCCGCTACTTAAAACATCTTTGGTTAGGTGGCCAATCACCTTTCATCCAAAAACCTCTAATGAAGGAAAGCTCCCCACCGTCCAGGGCAGTTCCTCCTTAGCCTTAAAACAGGATTGAAGAACAGGGCCAGTTTTCGAGGACCACTCCAAGAAGGCAAGCCCCCCCTGCCCCCACCAAAGAACAAAAGCAGAAGTGACCACAGTGCCATTCCTGGTTTTCCAGAAAAGAAAAAGGGTACAGCAAATGGACTGAGAGGTCCAAGGAGCCCCTGCAACCTATGTAAAGGGTGAATTTTACCCCACGGAGACCCCCAGGAGCAATAGGACACTATTTTTGCTGGGGGGTGATTTTGGAGCTGGGTGGGAGAGCGCCAAAGCCTACATTTCTCATCCCTAGCCTAAAATTTCCTGCTCGTTCAGATCCTACACTTAAAGGAAAAGGGAAGAAATTCGCTTTCTTCTTTACAGGACGGCCCTTCAAATCTCTGGAGGGAGCCATTTTTTCCCATGTTAATAGTCTTTGTTACTGTACATCAAACTCTTCATCATGTCCTTCGCACAAGGAACGCTCGGAGATTGCTACCATTAGAGGTGTCAGCAGCTACTAACTTGGAGGGACTGAAGAAACGAAAGGATTAAACGTAAAGACTGCAGCATTATTGCTGCTTATTAGAGAAATGGAGCCTCCAGTTACAGGAACAGGATACCTTTCAACAGCAAACGGCAAGGGCAGAGAAGAAGAACTGGCCTGGGTGGAGAGCTCCCAAGAGACATCCAGGAAAGGGGATGAAGGCATGGATGGAGCTTGGTTTGCTCCACCAATGCACTGCTTATCTCCGTGGACAACGCTGCCCCAAATGCCACTCTCTGGAGGTTCGTGTCTGTGTTCCCACCTCCCCAATCTGTAGCTGCTAAACAATGCCATCACAAACCCACAGAAGTACCACTGCAGAAAAAAACCAACCCTTGTGGAAGGAAAGGAATTGCTGTCCTTGGCAGACTTCTAAGGCTCTCCTGTGCAAGCAGCCAATCTGACACCCCGCTGCGCCACTGGGGGTTGGTGGTGGTGGGCGGCTGCTGAATTTTAGTGGCAAGCCCCATGGTGGCCTTTTTCCACCTTTGGCGGATTGCCTGGCTGCGACCTTACCTAGACACGGGGGCGCTCACTACCTTAGTACTTGCGCACGTAATTTCTAGATTAGACTACTGTAATGCACTCTACGTGGGGCTTCCTTTGAAGCTGATGCGGAAACTTCAGGTGGTGCAGAATGCAGCGGCCAGACTCCTTACTGGAGTGAGAAAATACCAACATATCTCTCCTACTCTGGCCATGCTGCACTGGCTGCCCATTTGTTTCCACATTGACTTCAAAGTGTTAATGCTTACATATAAAGCCCTAAACGGTTTAGGACCTCGATACTTGGCGGAACGCTTACTCCCAACTAGTTCTACCCATGTCACCCGTGCGAGCCAGGAGGCAAGGCTGACAATAAATAAATAAAAAATAAAATAAATTCCTGCCTCCTAGAGGTTGCTCACTCCCAGACAACAGGGATCTATATATTCATGTACTGTAGTGGTTCCCAAAGGGACGTGGTGGCGCTGTGGGCTAAACCGCAGAAGCCTGTGCTGCAAGGTCGGAAGACCAAGCAGTCGTAAGATCGAATCCACGGGACGGAGTGAGCGCCCGTC